CCTCCTTTTTTAGAATTATTTAAATTAATTGTCATAAGATCACTTGTCATAAGTACAAAAATCTTATTTAAAAAATGAAATGTTACAATCATTACAATATTAGTCATTTTCACGTTTACTTATGTTTTCATTATTAGATATATATTATCGATTTCTTTTATGAAGATGCATCTATTTTTCATATTCAGTTTATGTCTGCAATTCCGACTCGTTCGTATTCCATAAATTGTAGCTCACAGTTCGCGATGTAGACACTGATATCTTTCGCATCCAGTTTATCACGATTTTCAGATTAGTCTCATGCTTCGTTGAGCAAACAGGTGTGGAAAATGTCATAATTTCTACAACTGAGATTCGTAGTATATGATACTTTTACGCGTGGCGACTAGTACGAGATAGTGGAAACATGGCGAATGTTTCTTGTTACTCTTATTACGCCGGTATTAACCTTTGTACGGCTGCATACTTTCGCACAACGGCACGATCAACTGCCTTTCTCATTCTCAGGCGTCTCGCAGAAATAGAAACTGGATTGGTACTCGATTCCCGTTCGCCTTGACGCCCTTAATCGGTCAGGGGATTTGTCTCGCGAGAGAATCTCGAGTGTCCCCTCCGCTTCCGCTATTAAATGCGACAATTGACAATCCGAGCCTTACAGGCCTTTCTTTGTTAAGCACTTCATTAACAATCTTTTAATTACAGAATATTTAATTAATGCTTTTGGGAATTGTACTTAATTAACACGACTCTTGAATTAAATATATATTTTATTTAAAAATACTTAATTACGGATTTTTTAACATCTTTCTCAGACAACACACAATATCTAGAAAACATTATTTTTACGTCTATTAGACATGCATGTAACCTGGGTTGACATTGATTACAATTTCCATTTTAAATATTATCATGAGAAGTTTGCGAAATATTAATAATACATATGTTGATTTGTATTATCAAATATCAAATTAATCCCTCTGTATCATGAATTTTTATGCAAGACCGATTTTTTTTATACTTTTAATTCGAAAATTTTTTAAATGATTGATTATAAATCAGAAGTTAGAATTTTAAAATTCAATGGCCGATTTAATATAGCGGACCAATAATTAAAATAAACTTTTAGTTAATAAATAAAATATTTAGTATTTCATTATTTATAAAAACATTATTTAATAAAGAACAGATTTTAATAACTTCGAATTCAGATGCAGCGATAAAAATATTCAGAAACTAAGGAATGCATAATCCGTTCGTAATTTCAAGATTATCTAAAGTAATATCTTAAGCTAATACGACTCTCTAATTGACTCATGATATCTTAAACACTATATAATTCAAGACTCGAAACTAGAGTCTTGAATTACTTACTGAAATAGAGTCTGTGGATTTCGTCTTAACTTTGAAAATATACAATTTTCTCGTTTTTTATCTATCACACGATTCTGTCTTTTTGGATTTTAAAATTTAAAAATTTTGACCTTAGATTAAGATTCAGTGAACCAACAAACCGCTGAGAGCATTATTATAAGAAATATGCAAATTCAAACTACTTATTTTGATTTACAGTAGAAAATAACGATTTTTCCATATTTTTCAAAGATTATATTATATTTTCTAACGCTTGTATATAGTTTATATTTTCATCAAAGTTTTGTTTATAACCAAAAAGAGGAAATTCTTTGTAAGGTAGAATCAATATGATCAACCATAGATATATTCTGAGTGCGTACACCTCGATTGTAACGTTTTTTTTTTAGTATTTTTGTTAGAGGCCATTATCAAGACAATGGATTCTAACTCATCTACCAAGTGGAAGTAAGTAGATACGTAAACAAGTGAATAAGTAGATAAATCAACTGTTTGAAAAATAGTTCTTCGTACGAGTTTATTCTTACGAGTCAACAAACATGTCATTCAATATGTTATATTATAAACTTATATTATAAAAATAACATTGTAAATCACTTTGTTTTCCATTTTTCTAATATTTTGTTATAGAAAAGGGAAAAGTATACCTACATAGATCATATTGGGTACATACCAAGTGTAGATACTTAATGATACTTTTTAAAAAATCTTTACTCATGTAAATATTTGAAAACGTTTCATATTTTTTTACTGTTCAGAAATTCTATTTTTAAATCTGACTGTTGATTTTCAATTTTGGATTTAACAAAAAATTAGAAAAAATCGTAAAACTTAGATAAGTCACATAAGATCCGATTATCTTATATTCCAATATAAGTTTGTTAAGAGATTTCTTATTTCCCATATAATTTCGACAAGCTAAAATAAATATTTAATCTCTCTCTCTCTCTCTCTCTTTCCCCCCCTCCCCTATATATATACAACACAAGTAATTTGACTGAACTGGTTTAAATTTTTTTATCTCTGATCACATTTGCTTCTTCAAATTAAATTGACTCATTGTTTCAATTACTGATTACATCCTGATTTACCAATCACAGAATGAGAATGTGTGCTGGTACATTTTTATTTAATGACTCATCTTGTTCAATATTTTTATCATTGTGGACTTATTGCGATTGTTATAATGGAAAAATATAACCGATAATATTATCGATAATATTAGAATAAAAAACATTGCATTGTTGTTTAGACAGATATGAAGATAGATATGAAGATAGATATGAAGAAATATTATCAACTTTTTGTGTAACTATAAATTGTATAATTTTTTATTTATTAATTTTATCGAATTTGTGTTTAATTTCTTTATTCTGAGGATGACCTAATAATGTCGAAATGTATGTTCTAAGAATCCCAAATACATAAAAATCTGGTATGTAACTCGTTTTTATCATTTATTGTCAATTAACAAAATTATATTGAAATTTGTAATTATTCTAGTTAAATTTTTTAATACTTTAGTAAAATCGTTCTTTCTATGTAATAAAGAAACAAAAATTTACTATGTATATTTATAATATTTATTATTTATTTATTTACTTATTTATATATTTATACTTATTTCTTTATTTATTTAATATATTTATTTATCGGGATAAATTTCTCTTATAGGAGTGAAATGTTTTCAAATTTTCAAGGTAAATATGCCTCACTGCAATAGATATTAAAAACTAATTAGGCATTACAAACTAATAGCAGAGAGTGATTGTATCTTGTAATTTATACTTCATAGTAATAACTAGGAATAATATGTTAAATCGTGAAATTGCCGGATACCGGATAATGGATATTCGGAAAGAATGTGACATCGGATATTCGATATCCAATAGGCGACTAGATACATTTATCCGATCGGATAGTAGATATTTTCTGGATATCCGAACAATTTCTTCATTCTATTTAAGAAAAAAGGAAAAAAAAGAAAACAAGAAAAATAGCAATAATAATTTCCTTTATCAACGTGAAAAAAAGAAGAGATATAATAAAATGCAAAAAGTGCAAAAAGTGCAAAAGCTGAAAAAAGAATAGAATTTTACATCAATGATACAAACTTTCAATATAAAATTTCGGCCGGATATGCAATATATATCGCTAGATACTAATGATATCCAGCTAACAAGCCCGATAGTAAAAAAGTTGGATACCAAAAAGTTGGGAGAGACTTTGCAAAAAATACTTTCATACATTATATTATACTTCAAAAAATTTGCCGCAATAAGTTCAATTTCCTATTTTTCTTTTTTCTTTTTTTTTTTTTTTCGATACAAAACTTGTGACACGTGATTTATCTGTGGATTTGTAGAACATATATACACTAGTATCTACCAGGTGCAGTGTAGAAACAAATTATTCACAAAAAATTGCTATTTTTTTTTATATTTTATGCTAAGGCATATTTTCTGTTGAAGCGTATTGGCCAGTTTTTTTTACCATATTATAGCTGAAATATTTTAAAGCAATTTTAGCAATATACAATAAAGTTGAACATACTCAGTATGTTCATATTTTTGAAGCTGTTTTAGTATTTTTTTCACTCTATCATAGACATTAATTAATAATACGCTACACAGATATAATCACACTGTGATTAAAGCTCATGGTAGCCTGAAACTAAGTATTTATGTTTTTTTATATTGTAATTGCTTCTCTATAATTGATTTAAGTTTCTGTATAGATATAATAAAAATAAAAATTAGTTAAATATAAGACTTTCGAAAAAAACAAATAAATTTTTAAATAATAATTTCATTCACTTTATGTTTTTCACAATTAAATCTTCTTAGTACGTATAGTATGTTTTTTGAATAACATATCGAAGGATGACATCGATAATCTTTACTAAAAAAACGAAATATAATGAAAAATTCAAATCGCAAATTTTTTTGTTCGCTATTGTAGATACTCTTAAACTTTGATGCGTGATTCATGCGGTATGTGCAATCGTGACAATTGCAAAAATTAAATAATTAGTTTTCCTGGAAAGATATATATCGAACACCGTATTATTAAAATTGCAATCCGATTGTCATGCAACTGCAGTGATAGTCAATGTAGTCGATGTAAGGTAGAGAAAGATAGAGAGAAACAGAAAAGGAAATATGATCGAAACGGAACCTGCATGTGCATGTTTCACGCACTCTTTGTTAAACGCGAGTTGTTCGATGCTATCCTATAAAAGAATACAATTAAAAAATAATAAAAACAAATTTATCAAAACATCGGCAAAAAATTATTTCACTTGCAAAAAAAATTTTGTTCATGGATCAACTCTAAATTTTTCATAAAATACTACTAAGGCACTTTCATTTACAGAGAATCTTGCTCAGTGTTAATATATAAATTTTTATTCAGAAATTTGTTGCTGAAAAGTGAAACGGACAACGAACAACGCACTCGATAAGTATCTCGATATCGCACTCGAGGTCGTCCGACCAGCGTACGAGGAAAGACACGAGGCTAGATTTATGTCGGCAACAATTGTAAAAAAAAAAAAAATATCGAGCGGAAAAGCATGCGCTAGCGCTCTCGCGAGTACACGCGTAAATTCGAGTGGAAGAGAAACGCACCTGGTCTTAAATCTCTGCGTGTCGTCCTGACCGGCCCACATCTTCCTTCTCCCGCAGTAACCGCTGTTCTCGATAACCTCTAATAGTCGATAACCTCGAAGCACACCGGAGCGGAGATCTGTCGTGTGAAAACCGTCCTTGCGAGGAAAACGACGAAACCCGCAAGAAAATTTATACCGGCACACGCGCGAGCGTGAATGACACGGGTCAACTGTCAAGTTGGGTTGGGTCACGCACGACGCGCTGTCGCGCTTCTTCCGTTTGTATGATTCGGCGCGTCGCGTCGCACGAGCGCAGGGGGAGAGAGGGAGGGAGGGAGAGAGAGAGAGAGAGAGAACGAGACGAAACGAGATATAGAGAACGGAACGCGGATGAGAGAGCGAGACGGCGCGAGTGAGGCCCCGCGGGAAGAAAGACGTTGCGGCGCCGCGAGCGCGAAGTGGAGGCGCCACCTCCGAAAAGTCGAGAAACTCGCGCTGTGCGAGAGAGTCGGCGTAAAGAGAGATAAAGAGAGTAACGTGCACGTCGTGCGCTACGCTTGGTCGATCGCCCGCTGCTGGTTGCGCACGATCGTGAAATACTGATGGTGGATCGGCAGCGAGGTGCGACTCGACAGAAAGAGAAAAAGAACGAGAGAGAAGGAAAGAGAGGCGGCGCGGTGGTCTTCGAGTGCAACTGCGCACAGACGAATCTTAAGCCCCGTAGTTGTGGCATGAAATTTCGGATGAGATTCAGGGAATCCCCTCATCCAACGGGTGTTTCCCACTTGCATGGATTGTAACGTATTGACTTGAATTAGCTCAAATGGGCAGTTCCAGTATGGCAAATAGAAAGGGTTTATCGTACATAAAACTTTATATGCGCAATGACTCGAGTGGCTTAAAAACTTTTCAAGTTAATTTATTTTCGCGCGACGATAATATAATTTCTTTTTAAATATAGACGGAAGTCGTTCATCCCTCCTCATATATACATAGGTATAGCAAAAAAAGGAAAGAATTTTCTGTAAAAAAAAAAAAAGAGGGGAAAATTGTTGGCACGAAGAATAAAGTTGCGTGCGAATAAACCGAGGCAGGTGTATCGCAACGGATGCGACTTCGCGGGAGCCGGAGTGTGCGACTGGGCCTTAAACCCTTACAGGTCAGCCAGCAAATAGCTGCTGAGACTCTGCCCTTAGGCTCATCGTCAGTCACGGACACCAGGTAATTTTCTCCTGGGAATACACGCTAAAACCGGGCCAGCGACAGCGGTTATATTTATCTTTCCGACCGTGTCGCTGTGTGTTCTTGTTCTTCTTTTTCTGTGCAAAATCTCGCGGTTACTTAAAAATACATTTCAATCCGCTTTCGGAGTGGTCAGTCTATTTCCTTAATGTTCGCCCGGTTTGTAACCACAAATCTTTACTCCGATTTTGTTCGATTAAGCTTATATTATCAATGATAAGAAATTAATATTTCTTTACGATGCAGCTGCGATACAGTATTTTTTTTCTAAGCAGGAAAACAATGTGATAATTAAAAATGTATCTCCACTTAAATCATTTCTGAATCACGCTTACGATGATGTGACACATTAAAAAATTATTAAGTAGTGCAAATTTAATTTGACTATTAATTTCAGTACAGTGAACTCAATCGTGGATTAATGTCGATCGAATCGAAGGGTCAATTGTGTATCTTGAAACGAGATGAAAATTACAAAAATTAACAAATTTACTGGAATATTTATAATTTCATTAGTCAATTTCTAGTGAGTAGTAATAAAATTAATACTATATATTCTCGCCTAAAATCATTATAATTACAACATACTATTTTTCATTACGCTATTGGCAATTTTTATCAGGCAAAATACAATTTAATTAAGAACAGTTAAACATTAAATATTCTTTTACATGAGAGAGATAAATACGTCAGAAAATGTTACATTAATAAATTGTAAATATTGATGTAAAATTGTACAAAACGGACGAGCAAACGCTTTTTTTTATAACCCAGCTGCGAACGAATAAACCGCTTGCTGATCGCAAAATTCCACGAATTCGCGGACGTCGCGCCACAAATTGTCGGCGTCATTTCCTCAACCATCCCCACGTGTACGTACGTAACGCGTGTACGTTAGAAGCCTTTCCTGCGCGCCGCGTGCAGCGGCGAGTTTGTCAGGAAATAAAGAGAGAAAGAGAAAGAAAAAGAGACACAGCGAGGAGAGAAAGAAAGATAACGAAGATGACCGGCTGAACGAAGGACACCGAACAAAGGGTAGGCAGAAACGTCGTGTACCTATGCAATTACGAGGCTTTGAGGCCCTAAATGTATACGCCTCTATGTGGCACGCTACCAGCTTCGATGAGTCACAAGCTTGGAGCTTGTATTACTCGCACGCGGCGACGACGTTCCGCGGATGCGTTCGATGCATTCGAACAAATTGCTTTAGAAAAAAGCACATTGCTTGAAATCTAGAAACAAGGATTCTCAAAAGGAAAAAGAAAAACACTCTACCGAATTAATTATCTTAAATCACGATTTATTGAATTCTTTGTAAAAGTTTAGAGTATTTATACATTATTAGTAATAATACATTAGTATTATTATTAAATCAGTAAATAAATTACAAACTAAATTCCCAAAAGCAAAAATTTTTGTACCATCTACTGAAATTTTTGCTGAAGAAGGCTAAAAGAGAAATTAGCCGAAACATGTACAAGTAATGATATAATATAGGATTACTTTAAAGAAACAAAACCGCGCACCGTCTACAGTGTCAATTCCCAATTGCCTGTTTATTCAATTTTTCTTTTTAAATTATTATTAAATTGATTATCAATCTTAATTATAATATTACTATTTTAGTTAGAATTCCGTTTCAAGATCGGCAAACAATCCGCCGAATGCAGTTTGCAGAATTAGTAAAAACATACATATAAAAAAAATTGCTGCTTTGACCAAATGTGTCTCTTCATTTTGATTGTAAAATAACGTAATTTAATAACTAAACAATGAATCTTTTATTGATTAATTTTTCCATGATACTCTAGGAGGTGATTCAATTTACATTGAATATTAAAAAGCGGTGAGATTGTGGGAAACTATACTATAATTGTAAGAATTAAAATTGAACTCCAGAAACTGGTCGAGCCCTCCAACCACATTGTTAATTTAATATCACGTTTTTATTCGTTCAGTCATGTGTGACAGCGGGACTAGCCCTCGATATTGTGGGCGTCGTTCGCATTGGGCGTGTACCTATGGCGCCCATAATCTTTATCAGCGACAACAACACGCTATTACGTTCCCCTTTTATATACGTATCCGATACAAAATAATAAGCCATATGTTATCGCCCTAAAAAAAAAGAATTTGCGACATGTCGGGACGAAGTTCGTGTCTTGTCCAATCATCGTAGCAACGCGTAATTACGCAAACCAGGACGCGATAATATTGCGAGGGAAAACCTCGCGGAACGCAATATACCTCTGCGTGCACGAAACAGAAACCTGAATAAAATGAAATGAAGGGATGAAAAAATCTAAATGAAAATAAAGAGCAATGTGTCGAGACGCTGCTGGTTCGCGTTTCTTTTAATTAGACCGATGTTAATTGCGTTCAAATGTAATGATGATTTCCATCGGCTTTTACTAATGCACGCTAAGACCGCGATTATGCGAACGACATATCACTTTGTTTTTAAACAATATTTCTTAAAAAAAAGGTAAAAATAATTTTAAAATATTTAAAATATTTAAATACATAAATACAAACTAAAAAGTGTCTTCTATCAGATAATATACGCAGTTTTTATAATACTGTTTGTAATTTGGCAGTAATTAATTTTTTCGAAAGATAAGCAAAAATGAGCATCTGACAAAATGGGCTTCCAAAAATAACACAGTGGGCAGTAATGCCACATATTCCAATTCTTTTTCTTTTACAGAAATTATCTGTATAAAATACTTACAAGTGAATGATATTTACAAGATTTTCCAGAATCTTTTCACTTGGATATAAAACTATTTTTGTTGAATGCGTATTTACTTTATGCTTTCTGCAAGATGCAGATATATAGCGATAGTTTTTCAAAGGCTTTCCCGTATATATGTACCATTGCTTTTAACTGCGATAGAGTTATTTGACACTATAAAGCAACATTACAAAGTTAGTTTATTTAGTTAGTTCATTAGTTAGTTCGTTATTAAGTTAGTTCATAATTTGTTTTACAGACAGGTGTGCCAGTTGACGCTGCACCCCGACTTTATATTTAAAATCGTATTATGAAAAAATTAAGAAAGAAATAATATAAATAAAACTGATTTAGAAAACTACAAGCATTTAAAACGACGTAATTATTAATAATATAGTTACTATTATTTAAATTACGCAATTTGCAAAAGAAAATCGTAAAAATTTTATTTTCGCATTCATAGAATTCGTTTTTCTGCTGATTTCGTATAGAAACAACACCATATACGAATTATGCATTTACATTTTTTTAATTAACTAAACACGGTCATGTTTTTATTAATATTAATAAAGTATAATAGTGAGTTTCTGAGAAGGGGGACCTCTCTCTCTCTCTCTTCGCTTTAGGAGATCTATGTCAATATCGGCGACTTTCCTCTACTGATCAATAATACTGACAGTATGCATCAATATTTTTACAACTTTACAGGATTAACGTTATTGACAATATATTTTACTTAATTTTACATATATTCCGTATACTTATTACACTGACATATTGTAACATGGATCCTAATAAAATGATACTGATGCTCGAGAATCAAAATTCAGACCACTGTCAATTCATCAATATTAACCACATACATCAGTAATATTGCCAGTATTTGTTAATATTGATAATATTATTGATTGTGTAAGAGTGATCT